TCTATTTATTCACAAAGTACATGTCATTGTATTTCAAGCTATTTTCGGATTGTCGACTAGATCTATACCTTTTTACGAAATGTTTTGCCATGTGAAAGTGCTGATTTTCAAAGGTTGTACATTATAAAATCATGCATCACTCCTTTTTATCTTAGCGACGAAATGTGTTCTTATCTGAGCCACGAAACATGTTCTGAATTGTTACTAACCTTTATTCTGAGAAACGAAGGGTAAAGTCTTCACCCGTGTTTCTGGGATTTCACACAATGTGGATAATGATATATTATGGTGTACAATCTTTTAAAGGCGCCTACTCCAACCCTATTCTGTCAGTAAAAGTAAAGTATAACCGGTAAAACCTAACACGTCTTTGCGCGTCACGATAACCACAGAGGGCTATTTTGACGATCCTGTTAGATATATAGCTGCCACTCCTGTGACCCAAAAGGCGACCCACGATGTTGCTAATTTGGTTAAGCAATTAGAAGTGGTGGTAGATTTATTTTTTCCTTGGGGTGAGGGGGTGAGACTGATATACTTTACTTTTATGGTTCTTTCCACCCCACTCTACCTCCTTCCACCGCTGTTTTATCCATTTTAATATAAATGCTATCTTTTACGGCTTTTTTCCCACTCCACCCCTTCCCCAGTATTCCGCCCATTTTGTTGTGAATGTTAACCCACCCAGTGACTAACAATTCTCATACCTTTAACATTTGTCCCCTCTGTTATAGGATGAGGTGAGTTTCCTCTGGTTTTTTTAAAAACAGAAATATCTTTACATGTTGACTCATATTCTCATTAAGTTCTAAAGACGACCTCAACGTTTACATATATTATGTCATCAGTTTAAAGAAATATTTCCCAAGCCTTTAGACTGAATGTTGCTTTGTATATCACCGAGACAGTGAAAGGAATGCACGTGCTGTTTTAGTTTCTTGGTTTCTAGATTTGAAGACGTTTTTTTTAAATTTTGGAATGATACACAGTAGTATTTGATATATGTGTATGTGTATGTACGAGCAAGTATAGCTTTGTTTGTTTATTTGTGTGTGTATGTGTGTATGTGTGTATGTGTGTATGTGTGTGTGTGCCCCCCCCCCAACCTCCCCTCCTGACTCAGACGCGTCGTATGAATGACAAAAAGGCTGTCCTGTGTCATCGTGTTCCCAATCATTTCCCCATTAATTAACACATATTTGCGAAGGCGAAAAGAAAACATCAAAGTGAAAAAGAGACACAAAAGCCGCATGAGGAATTCTACAAATCTCATGCTTCCACGAGAGCGTATTCAGTAACTGCCAACGTGTGACACTGACTTTGTGCAAAATGCAAATGCAGCCTATAGGTAGAATCTGTAAAAGCGGATAATTCTAACACGAAAATGGAAGAATAAATGACATGGAATATAGATTCTCCTCATTATCTCAAAACCGCCGCCTCCTCTCTCTCACACCCTTCTTTCGCATTCCACTCGCTAAATCAGAAACTGATGTATAAAAGAAATGTTGTATTGGCTCTTTATTGTTGGCCACACGGATACTTACTTGGCCATAAAAGTCATGTCGAAACAACAATTGAATGCGTGGTAGGCGGGTGCTCTGGTGTGGTCTGCTCCTTCTTTCCTATCAAACACCTATCCTGATGTTCCTCCTTTTCTTTATACATTACTCTCAAGTAACAGCTCTAATCTTCGGCACTTGCTTTCATGATTTATTGTGTTACAATAATTGCAGTAAAACTCTTACTGCAACTAAAACCAAACAACAAGTGAGTTCGCAACCAAAATTGTACCATCTCTTGATATTGTCAAGATAAATAATTATGACATAGTTAGAGATAGTGTATCACAGTAAATCATGGAACAATCTAATCCTACTTTTTAAATGTCCTTCCAAGGCTGATAGGAAGAGCGTTAAATATACAGTCATCAAGTAGAATGACGTGAGGATTCCTGTTTTCCTAGACTGGAGTCATTTTACTTTCCCCCACACACCCCTCCATCTTTTTTACATTGCTTTGCTTCACTCTAGGTGCTAATGTCTCCCTCCTCTTCCATTAACTGTTTTTTAAAAACAAGTTTTAAAGAAGAATGTGGTTTTATTTATCGCTTCTTGGTGCACAAAGACTTCAGCTATAATGAAGTTGTTATCTGGCGTCTTTGCTTACAACTTGCAGTTTCAAAGTCCAACTTCAATGCCTTCCCTAGACTGGACATGTTCTGATCAAGCTGCACCTCTGTAGTTTTTCTAATTATTCTTCACCCCCCACACACACACACTAAAACATCCATGCCTAATTCCCTACGGATCAGTGGACGGATTCTATTTATTCACAAAGTACATGTCATTGTATTTCAAGCTATTTTCGGATTGTCGACTAGATCTATACCTTTTTACGAAATGTTTTGCCATGTGAAAGTGCTGATTTTCAAAGATTGTACATTATAAAATCATGCATCACTCCTTTTTATCTTAGCGACGAAATGTGTTCTTATCTGAGCCACGAAACATGTTCTGAATTG